TCAGCCTTCCTGCTCCTCTGATGCTGCTTGGCCTGCTGTGTTCATCCAGCTCTACACTTTGTTATCTGAGGCTAGTCAATTTCAGCCAGTGTGGTGAACCTCAGGAGTCTGAAGGACAACCACATCCTTGGCAATATGTGAACAAGTGATTTGTTCACTATTAAGATCAACAGAGTGCAGGCTTCAGGGAAGAGAAAAATATTTTTTGTGAAACAGAATTCTCCCTTGATGAAACATATATTCTGAATCACCGAATCTCAGAACTGTTACAGCACAGATTAGGTCCATCATGTTTGCAGCAGCTCTCCAATGACCATTGTGACCTAGTCTACTTTCCCCCAGACCCTTGCATGCTGTTTCTATTCAAATTATCATTCATTGCCCTGTTGAATTCCTCAATTTACTCTGCCTCAACCATAATTACAGGCAGTGCAGTTCAGACCTGAACCACTCATTAGAGGAAAAAAAAGCTACATTTGCAAATCACTTTAAGCCTGTGCCTTCTCATTCATAATTCTTTCATGAATATAAACAGTTTCTTCCTATTTACTCTATCTATGCACCTCATAATTTCAAAATCTGGACTATTAGAGTCATAGAGATACAGAAACAGACCCTTCAGTCCAACTTGTCCATGCCGACCAGATATCCTATATAAATCTAGTCTCATTTGCCAGCATTTGGCCTATATTCCTCTAAACTTTTCCTATTCATATACCCATCCGGGTGCCTTATAAATGTTACCAAAGACAATGCAACAGCTTATAAAACATTAACTACTGCCACTAAAGTTTGTGGGAATCAGCACCAACACTCCACAGGAGTGCTAAACAAGCAGCTTGGCCCATCGTAAACAATATGACCTTATTGAATCTGGAATTCATACTAATGAGGCATTTCAATTTGCTTTGGAGAAAGAATAGATCCAAGATCATTCCCATGATGTGTTACCTACCTCCCCTGTCTGGCCAGTTGTAGTGAATACTCCAGCAGGCTCAGAGTGATTAGGGCCAGAGGATTTCATCCATCCACTTTGATCATACAGCAGGCGACCATCACCTTGATCATACTGTCCAATACCCCACTTCCTTGTCCTTCCAAATGTTAAGTGGCTTTCATCTGCCTGCCCACCTAATGGAAAAGTAATATGTTAATATTTGGAATGATTCTCTAAAAAAGTCTTGAATATTTGAAACACCTAATCATTACGTCTATAACTTCAAGTATACGTTACATTAAAAGTTTAGAAAATGTGAAGAGAGGCTGATTGGTATTTGCTTAATTTCAAAATAGCTCTCTACCCATTAATAACATCATGATTTAACATATCCTCCCTTCACTCTAACACCAACATTAAAACAGGGGATCAATTCAGATTCAATGAAAAGTGCAGGAAGGAAAGCCAGGAGCAGTATCAGGTGCATCTAACAATGAGATATCAAGCTGGTGAGGATATAACAAAGCCACGCTACACCAAACAGTGGAAGCAACAAGCAACAGACAGAGCTAAGTGATCCCATAAGTACACATCAGATCTATGTTCTGCAGTTCTGTCACTTCCAGCCATGAATGGTGGTGGGCACTTAAACAGCACACTGAGGTAGGTGGCTCCTTGAGTATTCCCATCCTGAATGATGAGAAAGCCCAGCACCTCAGTGTGAAAGCCTGAAGCATTTTCATTCATCTTCAACCAGCAGTGCTGACCGAATGATCCAATCTGGCCTCCTACAGTAATCCCCAGCATTACAGATGCCATTTTCAACCAATTCAATTAATATCACGTTATTTCACAAAATGGCTGAACACACGGGATACTGCAAAGGCTATGTGCCCTGACAACATTGTGTAAATAGTACTGAAGACTTGTGCTCCAGAATTAGCCAGATCATTAATCCATCTGTTCCAACACACCTGCAACACTGGCACATCTACCTGACAATGTGAAAAATTAGCCAGGTATATCCTATACACAAAAGTAGGACAATACCTGTGGCCGATTACTGCCTTATCAGGCTATTCTCAATCATCAGCAAAGTGATGCTTCTTGGAACAATCAATGGCAGTTTCAGCCTCACCATTACTAGCTTTCAATTCCAGATTTATTGATTGGATTTAAATTTGACACATTGCTGTGGTGAGATGTGATCCTGAATCCCCCAATGCATCATCCTGGGCTCACGGATTAAAGTCATCATTGCCCTACCAGACCATAGGGGAGCGCTTTTATTGGAGAAAGAGATGACAGATGGTGGTTTAAACTCAGGGTCACCACGCCTCACATGAGGGGAGAGGTTGAGTAGGACAGTCTTTCATTGGTGACCTCAGCTGGTGTGGGAATTGAACCCATGCTGTTGGCATCACCGTGCATCTCAAACCACTCTTCTAGCCAACTAAAGCTAACCAACACCCGCCCCCCCAGCCAAGATTGCAAACAAAATTCCAACTAGAGGTTTTGATTCCAAAATCATCCCAATTCTCATTTACGTAAGAAATGTGTTCCTCAGAAACATATTAATTTTAGTAGAGGTCCTGACAGCTTCATGAGCACGGCCTTTCAAAGGCACAAATGCCTCTCCTTTCTCAGTCTGGTCCATGGATAATGACCAAACATTTCATTGAGTAAAAATAACTAAATGTTTGAGCAGATTAGAAGAGTACAGGGATTGACACTGCCAGTATAAGAAAATAGTTGGCTGGTACGCAAGCTATAACTAATGGAGTGCCAGAGTGTTTAGCCCTTGGGCTCCAAATATTTACAACCTATGTTAGTGATTTGGATAGCCCAATTTGAAGGCAACATGAAAATAGATGGAAAAGTAGGTTGCCTCCAAGAAATAAGTAAATTAAATTACAAATGAATACGGTGGTGAATGCACCAAAATTTGACAGACAGAGTTTAACATGTATAAATGGGAGGTTATCTATTTTGGTTGGAAGAATAGAAAGACAGCTTATTATCTAAATGACGGAAAACTTCAAAGTATTTCAGTGCAGAGAGATCTGGGTGTCCTAGTGCACAAGTTGCAGAAAGTTTGTCTGCAGGTTTTGAGGAGGAATAATGGAATTTTGGCATTTATTGTTAAAGGGATTCAGTATAAAAGTAAGGAAGTATTGCTGCAAACTGTACCAGGCACTTGTGTGTACTGTGTACAGATTTGGTCCCTTTGTTTGAGGAAGGATGTAATTGTATTGGAGATAGTTCAGAAAATGTTCACTTAAGCGCAGGCCTATACTTTTTACAGAGAAGATTGAACTCAAATACATAAGGTGCTAAAGGGGATTAACAAAGTAGACACAGAACTGATGTTTCCCCTTGTGTAGAGTTGAGAACAAGAGATCAATTTTAGGCTGAGGGTGGCTGATTTAAAACGGTGATGAGGATAAATTATTTCTCTCAAAAAGTCATGGATCTGCAGAATTCACTGCCTCAGTGGGCAGATGCCCCACTGAGTAAAATTTTAGATGATAGACAGATTCTTGATGAGTAATAGTTTAAAGGGTTATGGGGAACAGGCAAGGAAGCGGAATTGAGTCTGAGATGTGATCAGCCACGATTGTGCTAAATGGCGGAGTAAGCTCGAGGGTCTGAATTACCTACTCCTGCTCAAAATCTTTATGTCCTTAAGTAACGTCTTGGTCATGAAGGGTACAAGGGCCATGCAGCATGAGGTGCATTCAAGTCTTAGCAAATTTTTTTTTTTCTTTTGCAATGTGTGCTATAAATGTTCAGAAAACGGTTTTCTCAAAATCAATGTGTTTATTATGAGGCCAGAAACTAGGTGCAGAGGTAACTAACATTGACAGTACAGATTTAATGGGCCAAAAGGTCCCTTTTGTACAGTATGATCTATAATTCTAATTGATGAATTTCTTCTTTTGCTGGCACAGCAGGGATCTTGGCTTAGCCAATATGAATTAGATAGTGTAACTACCAATACAATGGGTATTTTGTTCTTCAATATTGTACATTGGCATCTGCTGAATAACAAATTTTCTTGTTAGTTTTAATAATATTTTGAGGAGAATGTTCTTGAAAAAAAATGTCTAATTAGCTTTTTTTTACAAAAATATGGAATGCAATATATTAATTCAGCTAGAAGAAATAGAAGTCAGAATATTATTATAAGAACACTGTATTAAAGATTTTGTCCAGCAGAATCATGGAGAAGTCTAAAAATGTTCTGACCTTGAAGGTCTATGTGCATAAAACAAAATATTTTATAGCGCAGTTATATTGGCACAATTTGCATCATGGGAAAAAAGTTTCCATGGGGGAAAATACTTTTGGAGCGAAAATAGCAATAAAAAACTCTAGTGAGGCATAAAAACAAACCAGAACCAGATGGTTGTGGAATTTAAATGTAAAGCAGGTATGAACAGTGAACTGCGGTCAAAAGAAAATTCATCAGACGTTTTGAAACCGAAAAGTTCCTTCAACAATCTACAGGAGAAAGGCAACAGACCTGAAGAGGGCAATAACGCCTGAAGTTTAACAAGGATCTTGCCCGTAGATTGGGAGATTATCCACTGACACAGTGCTATTGGGCACCACATTATACTTGTGCATGTTGGGCATCTACTTGCCCCAGAGCCACAAACTGTAGATTACAGCAGGGTGGTGACAGAGCTGGGTGACGGGCAGTGTTGGGCACAGCTGGCAGCTGATAAGAGTTTTGAAGCGGTGTAGTCCCCTCCTGCCCCAGGTGTACCAGCATCATCTGCCTTCAGTGGTGCACATGCCAAGGTGACCATTCTGACATCTTTTTGAAATCGTATCCTCACCCTCTCATCAGTCTTCAATCTCAATCGTGGATCTCTGCTATGCCCACTTTCCAGGAGAATGGTACATCTCGTTTTTGTCAGGATGCCAATTACAAAACTGACAATGGGACCTTCTAAGATTGAAGATTTGCAATTTTCCAATGCAGAGAGTACCTATTCCTAGCCCAAATCACTATGTTCGTCTGCCAGATCGGGAGTAAACAGAGATTCAGTCTCCAAACAAGGCTACAAAGAAGCAAGTACCTTAGCCCAGGACTCAGCAAATCCAAAGCACATGTGCCTCTTCCACTGGACTTCCACTGAAATTATATGAGGTGGTTGCAGGAAAGGGTCAAATAACTTTCATTCTAGTGTCCAACGTGTGTCTTTGTGCCACTGATGAGCAAGTCCCAGGTTTGAAGTCTAATCCCTGCTGAATTCATGCATATAGGGGTAATGCCCGAGGAATGAGCAGGTCATCAGGATGAAATGGATTTTTGCCTAGATTCAATTTCAACTTGAATTTTCATTTTTAGAAACAGGATCACATCGGGTTTTTTTTAAATGACGGCAATAAAGGAGTAACTTCTACTGATACATCACCATGCAAAATCTTCAGATGGTCCAAAGTATGCAATTGCCAATTAAGGATTTTAAAATACAAGTCACTGTTATTGCCAATGCTCACAGCACAATCCCACAAATTGCAACATTAAGTTCAATTCTAGATAAACTGGCTGTAGTTTCCACAAACCCATACAATGGTTGTCCAAAGTGAAAAATCATTTAACTAATCTAGAAACCACCATATTGAATCAGAAGTATCTATGGCTTTGTCAAAGATTAAAAAATTAATGAGGTACAACTACCATTCATTTCATGATATTTAATGGAATGGGGCCAAGGATCACAAAACTATGAGATTCAGGTCAAGTAGATCTAAACTGGGTCAGTACTTTGAAATAACAAGGTGTACTATCTCAGTACTTTGAAACATTTGAGAAGTTTACAGTTCCTGATGGGCTGTTGATTTAATTGATGAATGGCTCAGTCACAGTTTTCCTATTAGAGCTAATATAGGATCGTATGTGAGATCTAACTAACAACCTACAATTGTGTTTGGACAGGGACCTTGGTGTTCTTTAGTTGTTATAAAGTCATACAGCACAGAAATGAACCCTTCCATCCAACTTGTCCATGCCAACCAAGTTTCCCAAACTAAATTACTCTCATCTGCCTGCATTTAGCCCACATCCCTTTAAACCTTTCCTATTCATGTACCTGTCGAAATATCTTTTAAAAGTTGTAACTGTACCTGCATCTGCCGCTTCTTCTGGCAGTTCACTCCACATACGAACAACCATCTGTGT